AATGATGCTGTTTGGGTTAAAGAATGTAGGGGCCACCTACATGAGGGTCATGACCACAATTTTTCATGACATGATACACAAGGAGATTGAAGTGTATGTAGACGTCGTTATCATCAAATCCAAGAAAGTCACTGATCACATGGGAGATTTGAGGAAATTCATCAATAGATTGAGAAGGTACAACCTGAAGCTGAATCCCGCAAAATGTGCATTTGGGGTTCCTGCCGGAAAACTACTTGGGTTCATCGTGAGCCACCGAGGGATAGAATTGGATCCATCAAAGGTCAAAGCTATTCAAGAATTGCTGCCGCCGAAGAGCAAGAAGGAGGTTATGAGTTTCTTGGGGAGACCTAACTACATCAGCCGGTTCACAGCTCTGTCCACTGTCATTTGTGAGCCAATCTTTATGATGTTAAAGAAGGACGCCGCTACCAAATGGACTGACGACTGCCAGAAAGCCTTCGACAGAATCAAAGAGTACCTGTTAACACCGCCGGTTCTGGTTCCGCTCGAACCAGGTAGACCCCTGCTACTCTACCTTGCAGTATTGGATGGAGCGTTTGGTTGTGTTCTGGGGCAACATGATGAAACGGGGAGAAAAGAGCAAGCCATTTATCATCTCAGAAAGAAGTTCACCCCGTTCGAGGTCCGGTATTCCTTACTAGAACGCACATGTTGTGCTCTAACTTGGGTAGCTCAGAAGTTGAGGCATTATTTCTGTGCTTACACCACGTATCTCATATCAAGAATGGACCCATTAAAGTATATCTTTCAGAAGCCCATGCCCACCGGCAAGCTAGCTAAGTGGCAGATCCTGCTGAGTGAATTTGACATTGCCTACGTGACTCAGAAAGCAATCAAAGGACATGCTCTAGTAGATCACCTCGCTGAAAACCCTGTGGATGGAGAATACGAGCCTCTGAATACGTATTTTCCTAATGAGTAGGTATCCTTCATAGGAGAGGACATTGCAGAATCCTATGACGGTTGGAGGATGTTTTTCGACGGAGCAGCAAATTTCAAGGGAGTTGGCATAGGAGCAGTCCTAGTATCAGAAACCGGCCAGCATTATCTGGTATCCGCCAACAATATGGCCGAGTACAAAGCTTGCATCTTGGGGCTCAAGATGGCCATTGACATGAACGTCCAAGAGTTGCTAGTGATTGGAGATTCGGATTTGCTTATACATCAGGTCCGAGAAGAATGGGCGACCAAGAACTCCAAGATACTCCCGTATTTGCATCATGTACAGGAGTTGAGAAAGAGGTTCATAAAGACAGAGTTCCGACATGTTCCTAGAGTCCAGAACGAGTTTCTCGACGCATTGGCCACTCTATCATCCACGATTCAGCATCCAGATAAGAACTTCATAGACCGTATTCCAGTAAAGATTCATGATCAGCCAGCTTACTATGCTCATGTCGAGGAAGAAGCAGATGGAAAGCCTTGGTTTCACGACATCATGGAATTTTTGGGCGAAGGAAAATATCCAGAGCTTGCAAATGCTATTAAGAAGCACACTCTGCGAAGATTGTCCAACAATTTCTTCCACAGCGAAGGAATCCTGTATAGGAGAACTCCGGATTTGGGTTTGCTAAGGTGTGTTGACGCAAAGGAAGCATCCAAACTGCTAGAGGAAATTTATGCTGGGAATTGTGGTCCACATATGAACGGTTTTGTCTTAGCCAAGAAGATACTCCGGGCAGGTTATTTCTGGATGACTATGGAAACGGACTCCATCCAGTAAGTTCGAAAGTGCCACCGCTGTGAGATCCATGCAGACATGATGAAAGTGCCTCCAAATGAGCTTAATGCAACAAGCTCACCATGGCCGTTCGCCGCATGGGGAATGGATGTTATCGGACTAATCGAGCCTGCCACATCAAATGGGCACAGGTTTTATCCTAGTAGCAATTGATTATTTCACTAAATGGGTTGAAGCAACATCTTACAGAGCAGTGACCAAGAAAGTCGTGGCAGACTTTGTCCGTGATCGTATCATTTGTCGATTCGGGATCCCAGAATCAGTCATTACTGACAACGGTTCCAACCTCAACAGTGATTTGATGAAAGACATGTGCGAAACTTTCAAGATCAAACACAAGAATTCCACAACCTATAGGCCTCAGATGAACGGAGTTGTAGAAGCCGCCAATAAGAACATCAAGAAGATATTGAGAAAGATGGTAGAAAAGCATAAGCAGTGGCATGAGAAGCTGTCATTTGCTTTGTTAGGGTATCGCACCACAGTCCGCACATCGACTGGTGCAACTCCCTATATGTTGGTTTATGGTACGGAAGCGGTCATCCCCGCCGAGGTAGAAATTCCATCCCTAAGAATCATACAGGAAGCAGAAATCGACGATGTAGAATGGGTAAAGAGTCGTTACGAACAGTTAGCTCTTATAGATGGATAGAGAATGAACGCGATTTGCCATGGTCAACTTTACCAGAACAGAATGACTAGAGCCTTCAACAAGAGAGTCAGACCAAGACGGTTTACACCAGGGCAGCTGGTGTTGAATGAGATTTTTTCATATCAAGATGAGGCCAAAGGGAAATTCTCTCCCAACTGGCAGGGTCCGTACATAGTTCACCGGGTTTTAACAGGGGGAGCCCTCATACTCGCGGAAATGGACGGAGAAGTTTGGCCAAAACCAATCAACTCAGATGCTGTCAAGTGATACTATGTGTAACCATTTATGATATCATTATGTAATGTGAACTACGTCTGACCTGATTCTCGTTTAAGAGGGGATACGTAGGTAGCCTTATGCGTTCGGTCACAATTCAATAAAATTTTCATTTCCCCCGCAATTGGAAACTGGGGCAGAATTTTGAGGAGGACCCTCAAAATTCCGAAGTAACTTCAGTCGATCATTGCAAGCAGCCGTCAGAAGCATCAACCCACTAAACTAGGGCAGAATTTTGAGGAGGGCCCTCAAAATTCCGTAGCAAGAAAGGTCGCAATGTTTTGAACCACGTCGCGGTTGTTGGTTCATCTAAAGCTGTTTTTTTAAATATATATACATATATCATACCTTTAACAAAACTCATGCATGCCTATTATCGAAATCGCTTTGTTTGACAACGCTGCCCCGAGGGTACCTACAGTATGACCATAAACAGAGTCGAGCCAGTCAAGCGAAGCTAGCGGGAATGCGAACTAACCGGTCCCTTTACAAAACTCACAATTTTTCTTTGGATGCAGGCACCCAAGTCACAAATCAACAAATCCATTTACACACTCGTACATTCAGGAATACAACTCCCGAAATTATCACTTCACAACCACTATCCATACACGATATCCCCAGCAGCTAGAATGTCGCAATCAACAACCAGCTATCCGCTATCAGCTAAGAATCTTATACTACTACTTGTCTCTCATCTTCCGCATAAGGCTACTATTCTGCCTTCCGAGGTTAAGCTCTACCTCCATTTGCATTTCTTGCATTNGGATATTTATGTATGTCACATACTCTATTACTTTTAAATAAGTGTACTTATTTACTTCAAAAAAGTATTCATATTGAAGACTTCAATATTTATGTATATGGACCTTAATAATTTTTTGAAATCACATATATATATATATATATATATTTATAAATAAGTGCTCATATAATGAAGAGCTTTGTTGGGGGAGGGTTGGTGCATTTAAATTTGATAAATGACCAAAGGCTCCAATTATATACAAGAAACATATTTAACACTACAAGAAAATAATAATAATCTTAATAAACAATAATATTTCGTAGCTACATAATCACGTATTTACAATAAATTTATGGTTTCATAACTAATTAAAAATTTTATATTGAAATAATAAGTTTTGCAATGAAAAATAAAATTTATTGGTAATATTTGCCCTAATATATGATAAAAAATTAAATTTAAAAATATGATATTTATCGATAACATTATTATCGGTGTTAACTTTATATAATTATTTATATCTAGTTACGATAAGATATCTAAGTCCATACAAAAATTAATTATCTTGTTATTCTGGTCAAATTAATTTTAGTTGTAAGTTCCAATTTTATTAAAAATATTTAATTATATCTAATTAAGGTGTGAATAACTAACTACTGGGATTTAAACAAATTATATATATATATTTTTTCTAGACGATAAAATTCGTCATGATAATGTTTTTACAATCTTAATAATTATCATAAATCAAATTATATGCCGAATCTAAAAAGTAAAATTTTAATATCATTCTTATACATGAGAGATATCTTTTCTCTCTTTTGAGTATTATTTGTATTTAAGAATAGTTACATGTTTTCACTATTATTATGCTTATTTTTTGTATTATTTGTATTTAAACATAGTTACAGACTTTCACTATTATTAAGTTTATTTTTTTAAAAAAAATTTAAGAACTTAATATGATTGATATAGGGGAGTATAAGAAACCAAGCTAGTATAAAGTAATGAATTATTTTTCGGTAAATAATAAATATCATAATTCATATTAAAAAAAGTATTTCTTTAAAGTTTCAAAAGTGTTTAAAATAAGTATATAATTATAGTTAGTCAAACTTAAATATATTATATGTTAGATTTAAACAATTATGTGCTTGTATCTATCTACATTGATTACTAGTTATATTCAATTTAGATAAGTATAAAAGTTATTAATTTAATAATCTAATATTATTTTAATAACTTAATAATTATCATAACCCTAACTTAACACTAAAAATTAAGAAGCTAATATTATTGAAATATGAACATATAATAAAACTAACAATATCATATAAGATGAAAAAGCTATAAAGAAAAATATATTTTAGAATACCTTTATTTCATGTGAATAGTTGATTTATTTTATTTATTTATTTAAATTTAATATATTTACTCTTTTGTTTATATGTAATTTTCTATCTTATATTTGAATTTATGGTATTTGAATTTTGTTATGTATCTATAGTATTTATATTAAGAAGTAAATAAAGCTAACTATATAAGAAAAGGTATGACTTAAACCTAAACCTCCAAATCAAAATCAAAACTCTCGGCCGCCACTCTTCCTCTCCATTTTATTATTCCTTTCTTCCATAGTAGTGGCGTTAATTAGAAGCTGTAAGAACAAAGAAGAGAAAGAGGGTATCGATCTACACTGCTTCTCATTCGTAGACAAAAAATTTAACTGGTTTGTTTGTCACTTCTATATGGTAGGGTTTTTGAATCTTCTTACATCTATTTGGGTTTGGGATTTTATGTTCCATTTACGCGTTATTCCAGCAATATGATAGAAATTATGCCTTATTTTTTATAAATAATGAGTGCGATGTTGAAGATTTGATAGGTTTGTGACTTACACCTAATTGACTTGAGTTTCCGATTCAATTGTTTGTTTTTCATTTATAGGGTGCTCAAGAGAAAAGTGCCTTTGAGAAATTTCAATTTCTTCTAATATCAAACTGTAAGTTTTACTTCTTTTTTCGTCTCCTTAATTAAGTTTTATGATGTTTATTTAAATGCTTTTTATTTTGTCTTCTGTGTTAGAAAAAAGTTTAGATTTTTTTTCCACCTTGATTCATGGCTAAGTTTTTTGTTATTCCATAATTTATTGAATTTTTTCAATCACTAACTGTAAATGAGTCTAAATCAGTCTATATTTTGATAATTAAAATATAAGTTTCTCACAAGATCATGTTATTTTATTATTTCAGTATAGTGATTACGGAGAGTGCTTCATTATTCTTGGATGCATGAAGATCAAGCATGATGAGGGTGGCAACATGAATCATCAAGCAATACTTATGTTCATTTAATGTGAAATTCTGTACATTATTTTTTTATCTTTGTTACAATCAAGCCTCACATTGGCTAGTTCTTTTCTTCAAATTTTAGTTATTGTAGAAAACTTCTCTACTGCAGATGCTATTAATTTATCAGTACAAATGTGTATTTTGGAATTTATTTTGGGAAATATTTAGATGCCAATTTGTGTAGAATAAGTTATTACTCAAACTTAATATGTTATTAGTTTTAATATATTATGCACGGCCACCGAATAATTGAAAAATTTTAGAAAAAAATAAAATGGATAAGAAACATGGGATTTGTGAGAGAAACTTCTGTCACTATAATAAATTAACTTTTTGTCGAAAATTAAAATATAATAAAATAATCTACCAACTACTCTTTTGTATGATTTGTAGCCATGGAACTTTTAGTCCGTAGCTAAACAAAATATTTTTGCCACGGGCTACTATATGAAAACAGTTACATATCTAAATTTTCGTGGCAAATAAATTTAAACTTTTGCCACGCTATAATACTTCGTGACTACCATATAAAGATAGCTACAGATTTATTTATCGCGGCAAGAGTATACAATCATTTGCTATAAATTTATTTGTCGTGGCAAAAAGTATTAATCCTTAGCCACGGACCATGTAAAGTTTGTAGCTAACTTTTAGCTACGCAACATTTAGCTACGAATGCTACGGAAAAAAATATTGTAGCTAAAATGTTTAGCCACGAAAATTTTCATAATTAGCTGCGTTGTATTTTGTAGCTATAAATGCATTATGTTCTAGTGCACGAACATGATCAGCTAACAGAAATATGACATTTTTTTGGGCTAATTTTATTTCTTTGATTAATAATGAGAATTGTTTCCAACATATAAGAAAAGAATAAATCTCTATTGAAAAAGTAGAATCTAGTCATTACTTTTTAGTTAATCTAAGCTTTCTTCATTTTTGAAACAACTTTATTTTTCTGTCCAAGAACGTAACTGAATGCATCCGGATTCAACATCCAAATGTGTTTAGTTCTATGGAAGGAAGTGTATGATTTTAATGTGTGTGATCACTTGTAATTGATGAATTGTGAAAGGATTACGTTGATACTATCCTAGACTATGGGTGTGGAATACATGCATGCATGTTAATTGAATCAAATTTAGAATTTATTTTGAGATAATTTCAAACGCCTCCCCTTATGTTTACTTCATCACATCGACCTCCTTTGTAATTTTTGATATTACGTTTACCTTCATATTTTAATTTTCTTTAACAATTCTTTTAACCTATTTTCATTAATGTATAGAATGGTGATTTGACTAATTTGCCCTTTTTAATAATCTTTTGTTTAATGAATCTTGTAAGTATTTATTTTTGGTGACTGCTCAAATCTTTGATGCTTTCCCTCTGGTGCTCTCTTTGCCCGTCAAACAATTTTTTGGGATAACTCTCAGTGATGTATTACACACACCATTGACTAATGTTTCAAAATTAATATTTAAGCATCATGTGAAACAAAAAATACGGGGATAATTCATGTTTGGACTTAATATCTAAATAGCTTCCGAAAATTATTAAGTCGGAAAGATATTTGGACATAAGATGAAATATATAAGCATTAATTATTGTGATAACTCGGTCGGTCGTTTTGTATATTGTAGCTAAGTTTCCCTGTGTATTGCTTATTTTATTTTCATTACTGGTTATGTGACTTGCCGGGGTGGTTGGTTAGTTTCGGGGATAATTTGGAGTGAATTGGGAAACTTAGTCCCAAGGATGGAAGCTTAAATTGAAAGAGTTGACCGGAATTTGACTTTTGTATAAATGAATCCGGAATAGAGTTTTGATGGTTTCGATAGCTTCGTATGGTAATTTTGGACTTAACAGTATGACCGGATGTAGATTTGGAGGTCCGTAGGTATGTTTGATGCTTTTTGGCGAAAGTTGAAAAGTTAAAGGATTTGAAGGTTTAAGCTCTACCTCCATTTGCATTTCTCTGCATTGCATAAGACTACTATTCTGCCTTCCGAGGTTAAGCTCTACCTCCATTTGCATTTCTTGCATTGCATAAGGCTACTATTCTGCCTTTCGAGACTAAGCTCTGTCTCCATAATTGCATAAGACTACTATTTTGCCTTCCGAGGTTAAGCTCTACCTCTATTTGCATTTCTCTGCATTGCACAAGGCTATTATTCTGCCTTCCGAGGTTGAGCTCTACCTCCATTTGCATCTCTTGCATTGCATAAGGCTACTATTCTGCCTTTCGAGACTAAGCTCTGTCTCCATTTGCACGGCTGAAATATCGCCACTTCGTTTAAATCTTGCATTGGCTGAAACATCGCCAATTCATTTTATCTTGTATCGGCTGAAATATCGCCATTTTATCTTAATCTTGCATCGGCTGAAATATCGCCATTTTATTTAAGTCCTCCATCGGCTGAAATATCGCCACTTCATTTAAATCTTGCATCGACTGAAAGATCGCCATTTATATTTACACTTTACATCGGCTGAAAGATCGCCACTTATATTTACACTTTACATCGGCTGAAATACCGCCACCTTATTTAAGTCTTATATCAGCTGAAAGATCGCCATTTATATTTACACTTTACATCGGCTGAAATATTGTCATTTTATTAAAACTTGCATCGGCTGAAAGATCGCCAAATCCTGCATTTTATGGGCTGAAAGATCGCCAAAATCATCTGAAGGCGTCTTCGTTCAGAGGCACCATTTTCATAGCCCGAGAACATTATGCCATGGCCTGAGGGCCCCACTTTTATCTCTGCATCGCATTATTCAAAGGCATCATGGTTCGGAGGCATCATTCTCATAGCCCGAGAGCATCATTTCATAGCCTGCGAATCCTTTATTATGTGTTTCATGGCCCAGGACACCATAGTCCGAGGACGTCATCCTAACCGTCCAAAGACAGCATTCATGGTCCAATGGGAACTTGCATCATGTTTAAATTTATGCACAACATATGCGCTCGTGTTTTATTTGCAGGTAAACCAGCTAGCAACGGCTGTTTCAGCAGGAGCGATCCCGCTCCAGTTTCTGCAGCCTTTTTAAATTCGTAGCAATGCTACCCCGATCCAAATATCTCAGAAAAATCTCCATCGGCATGTTCCACCGACGGGTCCTGATCTACATATGGCCTGATTCCTGTAAGATCAGGGATATGTAGGCAGCTCAGGAACCAGAGCCCAGTCAAAACTCTTCAACTTGTTTCGTTCGGTCAAATTGGCCATCATATCTGTACCCGACAACTCTTTCATCCTTCCCGGGTAAAGAGGGGCAACTGTTGATACCCAGTTATTCCTTATATAATTTTTATATACAAAAACTACTCTCAAAATAGCATATATATATATACATATATAAGCATATCTAAGTGTTTTGGCATTTTTCCTAATTTTTAAAGATTTTAAAAATTATTGTCCATTTTGGCAGTACAAAAATCAATAATTATTCCTCAAATTATCATTTTGGTGAGTAATTTATTTTATCCTCATATTTATACCAATATATAGTTAAGGTAATTTTTGCACATTTTTTACAAATTTATTGAGTATATTAAAATTAAATTGCACATAATTGCAATTCTAGCCTATTTNTTGCATTGCATATGGCTACTATTCTGCCTTCCGAGGTTAAGCTCTACCTCCATTTGCATTTCTTGCATTGCATAAGGCTACTATTCTGCCGTTCGAGACTAAGCTCTGTCTCCATAATTGCATAAGGCTACTATTCTGCCTTCCGAGGTTAAGCTCTACCTCCATTTGCATTTCTCTGCATTGCACAAGGCTATTATTCTGCCTTCCGAGGTTAAGCTCTACCTCCATTTGCATCTCTTTGCATTGCATAAGGGTACTATCCCGCCTTCCGAGACTAAGCTCTGTCTCCATTTGCACGGCTGAAATATCGCCACTTCGTTTAACTCTTGCACTGGCTGAAATATCGCCACTTCATTTTAATCTTGCATCAGCTGAAATATCACCATTTTATCTAAATCTTGCATTGGTTTAAAGATCGCCATTTATATTTAGACTTTACATCGGCTGAAATATCGCCACCTTATTTAAGTCTTGCATCGGCTGAAAGATTGGTATTTATATTTACACTTTACATCGGCTGAAATATTGCCATTTTATTAAAAACTTGCATCGGCTGAAAGATCGCCAAATCCTGCATTTCACGGGCTGAAAGATCGCCAAAATCATCCGAAGGCGTCATCGTTCGGAGGCACCATTTTCATAGCCCGAGAACATCATGTCATGGCCTGAGGACCCCACTTTTATCTCTGCATCGCATTATTCAAAGGCATCATGGTTCGGAGGCATCATTCTCATAGCCCGAGAGCATTATTTCATAGCCTGCGAATCCTTTATTATGTGTTTCATGGCCCAGGACACCATAGTCCGAGTATGTCATCCTAACCGTCCAAAGACACTGTTCATGGTCCAACGGGAACTTGCATCTTGTTTAAATTTATGCACAACATATGCGCTCGTGTTTTATTTGCAGGTAAACCGACTAGCAACGGTCGTTTCAGCAGGAGCGATCCCGCTCCAGTTTCTGCAGCCTTTTTAAATTCGTAGCAATGCTACCCCGATCCAAATATCTCGGAAAAATCTCTATCGGCATGTTCCGCCGACGGGTCCTGAACTACATACGGCCCGATTCCTATAAAACCAAGGATATGTAGGCGGCTCAGGAACCCGTGCTCGGTCAAAATTCTTCAAATCGTTCGTTCTGTCAAAATTGGCCATCATATCTTTACCCGATAACTCTTTCATCCTTCTCGGGTAAAGAGGGGCGGCTGTTGATACCCAATTTTTTCCCTATGTATTTTATATACAAAATACTTTCAAAATAGCATGTATATGCATATACAAGCATGCCCAAGATTATTTGGTATTTAAAAGACTAAATTGCATATAACTGCAATTATAGCCTACTTTAAGAATAATAGCAATTTATAATTGTAAAATTAGTTCCAGTATTTTTAGATTAATATTTATATAGTATTTGTTGGCTCAGTGTTTTAAAT